CATTTAAACTCTATATTGTTTATATTGTGCATTTTGCTATTTATCGTACTGTTTATTTTAATCTCTGTGTGCAGCGCTTTGTGACTACCTGTCTATGAAAAGCGTTTAATAAATAAACTTTACTTACTTACTTACTTACTTACGTACTTACTTAATTAGTATAGAACACAGATGATATAATTAAGATTAAATACATTTATAAAAGAATCAAAATAAACATTTGCACATAAACTAAGTGAAATGGACATTCATAATCCTGATTGTGGGCAACAAAAAAAACCCTTTTCGACTCATGTTTTGGCTTCAATAATCAAAAACCTTTTGGGGGATAAAAATGGATATTTAAATGTTAAACAACTTAAAAGTTAAACGACTAAAAATGGCAACATGACATGTGAGAATACAAAATAACTGGCTCTTCTTCTCTTTGGAAATGTTCAGCTTCAGGAAACACTTGCTGTTTGACTAAAAAAATTACTAATACAAGAACAAGGATAACAGCCAAGCCTGTTCTTTATAGGTGTCAGTCAAGCTTAGCCTATTTTACCATTTAAAAAAAAATCTGTGGCATTTTTATGTGCATTTCATAGTGGGCATGCATCCCTTTTCCATCCGGCAACAATGAATTGACTTTACGTCCAAGTATTGTCACAGTAAGGCTGCATTGTGCCTATTGCAGATATTTCTGCTTTTTTTAGGTAATCCTTGAATTTTAATTGCAGGAGAAGCTGTTCGAGAGTCTATTTTTGTCAGTGACAGGCGCAGTCGCTGAGGTAATGTCCACTTCGACTGTGAGCAGAGACTTAAGCTTGTTATTTAAAGTCACTTAAGGATTTATTTGTGGCTGTAGCTTCATTATCCCTGCCTTTATGCACTCTTTGATCTTCAAAGCAGTCTGCATATATGGCGCATGCATGCTGCGTGTGTCACAATATATAATGTCACATTTTTTCTTGGGGCGTAATTGATTTGGGTGTAAATCTCTTAATGAATCCGATTTTAACTGGAATATGTTTGTCTGTGTTATTTCAGTCATACATGTGGACATGTAGAAATACTGAAATGAAAGCCTTACTGGAACATTGGCTAAACATATTAAAGGATAAAATGATTTTTTTTTTTTTACAAATAAGACAAGATAAATGTAGAGCAGCATCAAACTGCAGTTACAAACACAGCGGTCTCCAACCTTTTTTGCGCCACGGACCGGTTTGTGCCCGACAATATTTTCATGGACCGGCCTTTAAGGTGTAAATACAACAAAATAAAACTAGTACCGGTACCGAAAAAAGAAGATTTATTCATAACACACGTGAAAAGATCCAGGAAAACCGAGTTAACAATAAAAACGATAACAAAATAACGCTGAAAACCGATAAAAACCCTGAAAACCATACATTTCACACCTGAGCCTCAACTCTCGCGGCCCGGTACCAAACGACTCACGGACCGGTACTGGTCCGAGGCCTGGGGTTTGGGGACCACTGCACTAACAAACTTAAATGTGTGTATTTCATCATCAGACAATAGTCAGTGGATTTAAATTAGATTCAACAAATGTGGCCCTTTTTTCCCTCCACACCAGCTGTTTACCTGCTCAAATGTGTTTGGTCAAATGGAAATTAGAAAAGCTTGTTTGTAAGATGTTTCTAATGTAATCTCCTTTCAACGCATGCATTTTCATCTATTTTTTCCACATTGTTTCTAGTGAGCGGAGGTTATGCAGATGTGCGGTGCAACACCTCACCCTAGGCAGCTGCAGAAAAACATGGCAACCTTTCAGGACTGTTTGCCGAAGCTGACCTGCCCCCTTCTTCTGCTCACCTGAGCTCAACCTTCCTCCATTCTGAGCACAGACCCAATCATCAACGTCACCACAGTCCAAAATGTCTTCCCACAGACGCCACTTTCACTGCTTTGACGCTGTAGGAGGCGAAGGCACCCACAGGTCTTCCATTCCTTTTAAGCGCCACAGCACCCGCTTACCCAGAATCCCCCAGCATGGCATGGTGGCCCATCATGAACCCACAGCCGAATGCTATCTTTGCTCAGAGTGTAGACACGTCCATGCCTTGGAAGCAGTAGAGACTCAGTTGTCACCTTTCTATCACACTCACCCATCATGTCACCACCACCATCCACACCACTATGTCCTCAGTGGGCCGAGCAGGCCTGAAGAAACACCTCTGGGCCACAAACGCCACATTCATCATCACCGATACAGTAAGAAGCTGGTGTTGGTGAAGAACAGCGACCCCTCATTCAGAAAGACCATCACCTTGCACCGCAGGGGTCTACGCAGTTTGGGGCTTTTCTTAGAGGAGGTTTCCGAGCTCATGCAGTACCACATCAGGAAGCTGTACACTGTGGGCGGGCACAAGGTGAGGTCATAAACAGCTGGAGCTAGAAGATCACATATTACGTTTTGGTTTCCTGATTTTCTCTCACAAACCTTCTGAATAACAGGAGTTAGATAAGATTTTAGACAGGAATGGTTTCCAACTACTTTCAGGAAGAAGTTTTGGTTAAGACCAAGGACCATATGTTAATTAGGCACAAATTTTTACACTGCATGTCATTTCCTGATGAAACCCTCTCGTTTATCCTGACTTGGAACCGGGGCCATTCGATTGTGACCCCTGAGGCTGTATTCGTGTCTTAAACCAAGGCTCTTTTGCATACAAATCAAATGTGTTAACAAATGCACCAAGGAAACACTATTTACAATGATGATAAAAAAAAAAAAAACAGTTTAAAAAAAAAAAAAAATCATTGTTAAATTACATATTAATTTTTATCTAATTCTTTGGTCCACAGCACACACAAAGCTTGTGAATCCTGCAAAGCCGTGCGTTGATTTTCCTATAATAAAACATTATAAAACCATTAGATCTCAAAAGAAGCGAACACTTGCAGGAGATTTTTTTGATCCTCCAACAAAGCATTTCAGTAAAAACATTCAAATCTACAAGATGCTCTATTTTTACCTGGTGTTTAATTGCTCTATAAGCCTCTTTATTGTACAACAGGCACATTCATAATAAGTCAATAAATGAATAGCATCATTTCATCAACTTTGCAAATAGTTATAATCCCTGATAAGATACTATGAGGGTGTGAGGGAATGAAATGGGGATATTCCCTCACCCATGCATTCAGATTGTGGAGATTGCTCCAAACCCCATTAATCTTGATCATATCAGTGCTATTTTTGAGAGAGAAGAAACAGGTCAACGTTGAAACTCCCCTACTTTGATACCAGAGGTGTCTCAGAAATGTGTCTTCCACCATGGCAATTAATTATCTTCACCTGGGCTTCGTGTGACCACAGATGAAGCCATTCATCTGCCTTTAACAGCAGTGGCTTTAAAATTCAGAACTGCACTGTCATCACAACGAGCTGTACATGAGCCAGATAAAAATCAACAAAACACTCAATACTTCGGGGCTACATGCTTTCACAGCATTTTATGACTGACAGTAGAGAACATGAGTATTTAATATTAAAAACATAAAAATAACCATATTACAGATTCATATTATTCTAAGAGTGTTTTGGTCATTTAATTCTGTTACAGACATATTTAACATGCCTATAAGAGGATTTAATTAATTCATTTATTAATGCTTAACAAAATAAGTCCTTAAACCTTAAAAGATTGCATTCTCTGAAATCTCAAAAAAAGGATCAAAAGCAACAAACATATATTAACCAAGAAGGTTACTCCTGCTAGGCCTTTGTTTGAAAGGTTAGTACACACTCTGTACCCTGAGATTAATATGAATTTTTTTCAGGTTAATCATCTCTGACGCAGGAGACAAGTCTTCCTAATGCTGATAATTAGCTTGCATGATGTCCAGTTTTATTATCAAACTTTTGATAATAGCTGGAGGTACCCTAAAACTAACTAAATCTTTGTGTCTGAGCTTTATTAATATAGATGAATTACGCAGACATTTAGTCAAACTCTTTTGCACACTCAGCAAGCTGCCAGTACTGCTGAGCCACGCTGATGCTGCTCACAATGGCAGTTCATCATCGCACGAATGCACCGTCATTTCACAGAGATCATCCGGGATTAGGATAGATGCTTTGTCTTGACTCACTGCATGATTCACACCCTTCTTTGGCAGGGATTTAGAACTCTGCCGCTGTGCTCGAGAGGTGGCAGTGTCCTGACACAATGAAGATATTTATTATTATCATCATTACTCAATAAAAGAAAGACCCCACCTGACTAAAATCACTGTAACAAAATAACACTGAAATGTTTTAAAATGTATTCATAATGTTAGGAAACAAAAACATGCAGTATTCCCATTCTTAGTATGATATCCATTTTCACAAATATGTTGTTATGTAATCCCAATATGTACATCAGCTGCTGTCAAATCCAGGTCTCATCTGCTGATGGCTCAGCTCATGGCCCATCTGGGTATCCTTTCGCCAGGTCTTGTACAGGGAGCGCTATTTAAGTGATTTTAGCCTTCTTAGAGTTTCTGCAGGTGATGCAAGGCGCTCTATAGCCCACCTTCATCTCACCTCATCACTGTTATACTGTTTCTAAATTAGATTTAATTTAAATTAAATTAGTTGATCATTGTGCTCTTCACCTTAAGCTCGCTGTGCGGATGGGAAGGTGAGAAAGAGCCCAAAAACCAAAGGTATAACTTTTAACTGGTCCTGATTGAAATATGGGACTCTAATTAGTGTGCCAGATCAGATTGTTAAAGGGGGAAACGATGTTTCCCCTACAGTATATAGCGAGAAGCTATTAGATTGTTTTGGATCAAAACAATGGCAGCTAGAGATCAATCAGAATCTGACAACACTGATAAGGGTAACTTAATTTCACTCTTCAGATGGCATTAAATTCTTACTTTTGCTGATTAATTGTAATTAATGATGGCATTCTTTTTAAATCATCTTCCCTGTGTTCCTTTAAAGATAACAGTAAACTGTAAACAAACGTATTTGTTATTTGGTTTCAGATCGACAGCGTTCAGAGTCTTCTGCAGTGCCCCGGCGTTCTTGTCTGTGTCGGCCGGGAGCCTTCTCACCCATCGATTGTGGAGAACTTTCGGAAAACATCCGATGATAAACTTCCAAAGCTGAGTGTGAGGTCACGCTCCGGTGGCTGCACTGACGGACATGAGAGTAGGAAAAACTCTTAAAGTGATAATTACATTCTTACAAGTAGTAACTACAAAGTAGAAGTACTGAAAGATATACTATGGATGGTTCTCTAGCATCTAAATTAAATGACTTTTGTTAACGTACACCTTTAACAAAAGGCCTAATTTGAAATATTTGTCTTTTTTCTTTAACTGCTGCGTGGAAAATCAAGGACTCCCTTCAAAGAAAAGTGTCACCGACCCAAACCTGGAATCTGGAAACAAAGTTATCAGGCAGTCAGTGTCATCTGACAAGTCAGGCCCAGATGGAACTGATTCACCAGACAATGTCAACTCTTGCCCACCCTCTGGTGATGGGGTGAGGGAAGATGATATAGAGAAACGTGTTCGTGTTAATAAAGATGGCAGTTTATCAATGGAGATGAAAGTGCGCTTTAGACTGCAAAATGATGAAACAGTGCACTGGTCCACGGAAGTAAGAAAGACCACAGGCAGGACCTGTGACTACCACCAAGGAAACAATAACCCACACTTTCCGAGCTATCTTGAATCTGAAAACATCTCTGCTGTTCAGCCAGACGACCATTTCATGAGTCAGCACTATCAGAGACATCAAGAAGAACCTCATTGTCCTCACTGCTGCGGTCACTGCCAGGATTATGAAATCTGGAAAAATGTACCAGGAACACATGGGGCAAGTCGCCGCATTCAAACATCTAGCTCAAGTGCATCTTCACATACAGTGGTCTCTAGAAAGACAGTAGTATCTAGATCAAGTGAAGAGCTTACTGAACAAGTGGTGGAGACAGAGACTTGTGTGAAGCAGACTGTTGAGGCAGCTGAAACTGTAGAGTATTGCACCATCGGGAGTGAGGCTTGCTCACCAAAGTGCAACGTGCAATCTTCTACTTTGTATAACTGTCTAAATGAGAAATCAGAACAAACAAGATCCATTACTAGGCAAAATCAACCCCAGAGTCCTCAAGATACAACATCCAATGCTTCAGGACAATCTAGCAAGTCAAAAAAATCTAAACCCTCACACGCTTGTCATTGTGGAGTATCTGAAGAAAATACAAAAGGACAAATCTACACCCGAGCTGAAGAGGAAGGCAAAATACAAAGAGATTGTTCAAGTGCCATGTCTTTAAAATCTAATGTCTCTTGCAGATCAACTGTGTCTGGCAAAATACAGGACCCAGAGACAAAGGATGAAGAGGAGAACAGGTCGAAAAGTGCCATGTCAGTTCATTCAAATGCCTCGACAAAATCCAAATTGGATGTTTTGGATGTTGCAGTTGGAGGATCTCAAGCATGTGATGACAATGGAACACACAAAAGACCACTGAGCAGCATGTCTGTTAAATCCTCCAAATCTGAAATATCTGTGAAGTCTGAGCATCAACAACATAAATCAGAGGAAGATGTTGAAGAAGAAAAACCAATAAGTCCCATCTCAGCAAAGTCAGAGATGTCTATTAAATCCAGAGGATCGAGGGCATCTTCTTTCCCAGGTGAAAAAGAAACAAAGGAGGAAACTCAGCCGAGGACACCTAGTGTCACATCAGCTGCTTCAGATTCTTCTGTAGAGTCACCTGAGGCATCTGCAGAAGAAAGCATTCAAAAGCCAGCTGAGAATGAAACTGAACTGAGAACACAAAGCACCATGTCTGGGAATTCAAACACTTCAGCAAAATCTACAGAGTCAAGCGCATCTGAAGATCCACATACAGGAAATGCAGAGGAAACATCTGAAAGAACAGTAAGTGTAATGTCAGCTAGGTCTGTCAAGTCAAATGAATCTGCAACATCTAGAAACTTAAACGTTGAGACAGAAGAGACAAGGGAGGCAACTACTGCCATGTCAGCTAACTCTAATTCATCAGCAAGATCGAAAGGATCCAAGAGGCCCGATCCTCCTGATGCAACTGAATGTGTTGGTTCATCAGATGATATAAATACTGAAGAACAAGGCGGAGAGAGACCACAAAGCATACTGTCAGTCAAATCAGCAAAGTCTGTAAAGTCCAGTGTTTCTCCAAAATCCAGCAGATCCAAACACAGAGAACAGGGAGAGGAGAGGGGACCAAGTTCTTTGTCAGTAAAATCAGTTCAGTCCAACGTGTCAGCCAAATCAAAAGGGTCAAACACTTCAGCCAAATCTAATATGTCCGCGCCCACCGATATTGAAGCTGAAGAACAGGCTGCAGTTAATGATGAATATGAAGAAAGACCTCCAAGCAATACATCAACCACATCTGCTAAATCTTTAAAATCAAATGCTTCTGCAGTTACTCCTGAAAGCTGTGGTGATGCTTCTGAAGAAACTAATATTGAAGGTGAGACTGAAGGAGAATCAGTGAGCTCATTGTCAATTACATCAGATATTTCTGCAACATCGTTTAAATCAAAAGAAGAAGAAGGCACTGAGATGCTTCAAGAAGCAAATGATGAAGAGGAAACTGAACAAAGACCACCAAGCTGCTTATCAGCTAAATCACTTCAGTCACATGTTTCTGAAATATCTGCAGAGCGAGTACCAAGTGCTTTGTCAGCTAAATCAGCAAAGTCACGTGCTTCTAACACATCTAATAAACCAAAAACCTGTGAAGTTTATGCTTGCCAAGCCAATGAAAGATATGGCGAAGAGGAAACTCAGGAAAGAGCACAGAGTGAAGTATCAAACAGATCTGGAAAGTCAGCTAATTCTGCAAAATCTCCCAAGTCAAAAGATCATGAAGAGGAAAATATATCTGTTCATATGGAAATTGAAGAGAGAGCTCCAAGCAATCTGTCAGTCAGATCAGGAAAATCAGGAAAGTCAAATGCTTCTGCAACATCTAAAAGATCAAAGGTTTCTGAAATTTGCTTGGAAGACTTTGCTGACCATCCCGAGGAAAGAATCGTTGAAGGTGAGAGTGAAGTGAGAGTAGTGAGTGCTATGTCATCCAAGTCAGCTAAGTCAGATATTTCTGCCAGATCAAACAGAACAAATCATTCTGTTAATGCTCCAGGTAGCGAAAACTCAGAGAACTCTAATGAAGAAAATGACAAAGAGCTAACAGAAGAAAGAGCACAAAGTAGCCTATCAGTCAAATCAGGTCAGTCACATATTTCCGACAGATCTAAAAAGTCTGCAGATAGATCACCCAGTGCTTTGTCATCTAAATCAGCAAAGTCACATACTTCAAACAAATCTGTGAAATCAAATATTTCTGAAGTTCTGTGTAGTGATACTGATAAAATAGATGGTGAAGATCAAACTCAAGAGAGACCACAGAGTGCAATTTCATCCAAAACTGAAAAATCAACAGTTTCTGCAAAATCTAGTAGATCAACGATATTGGAAGATAATATAGTTAGGGAACACACAGAGAGAGCTCCAAGTAATCTGTCGATCAGATCAGAAAGATCAGCAAAGTCGAAAGTTTCTTCAGCATCAAAGAGATCAAATGTTTCTGGAGCTGTCTTAGAAGACAATGTTGACCCTTCTGACGAAAGAATTATTGAAGGGGAGAGTGAAGATGGCACAATGAGATCAGCATCTGCGCAGTCAGCTATTTCTGCCAGATCAAATAGGTCAAACCAGTCTGCTGATGCATCAGCTAAAGAAAAGTCAGAGAGTGCTGATGAAGAAAATAACAAAGAGCAAACGGAACAAAGAGCACAAAGCAGCTTATCAGCCAAATCACTTAAGTCACATGTTTCTGACAGATCTAAAAAGTCTGCAGATAGATCACCCAGTGCTTTATCAGCTAAATCAGCAAAGTCACATACTTCAAACAAATCTGTGAAATCAAATATTTCTGAAGTTCTGTGTAGTGATACTGATGAAATAGATGGCGAAGATCAAACTCAAGAGAGATCACAGAGCGCAATTTCAGCCAGAACTGAAAAATCAACCGTTTCTGGAAAATCTAGTAGATCAACAAGAATGGAAGAAAATAAAGTTGATCATGAGGAATCCACAGAGCGAGCTCCAAGCAATCTGTCAGTTAGATCAAGAAAATCAAATGTCTCTGCAACATCTGGAACATCAGATATATCTGAAGCTATTTTAGGAGACTGCATTGACAATACAGAGGAAGTTAAGGGTGAAACTGAAGAGAGGGCAATGAGCTCATTGTCTGTCCAGTCAAATATTTCTGCAAGATCAAATAAGTCAAAACGATCTGTTGATGCTCCAATTAAAGAGGACAGAAAGATCTATGTTGAAAGTGAAGAAAGAGCACAAAGTAGCTTATCAGTCAAGTCAGTTAAGTCACATGTTTCTGAGAAATCTAAAAATTCTGCAGAGAGATCACCCAGTGCTTTGTCAGTTAAATCCACTCAATCGCATGCTTCTGTAATATCAGTCAAATCAAATGCTTCTGAAGATCAGTCTGGCACAGATGTAGGAGACCCTAAAGATGAAACTGAGGAAAGAGCACCGAGTGCAGTGTCAACCAAAACTGAAAAGTCAGCTATTTCTGAAAAATCCTCAGTGTCAAAAGTATTTCATTGTCCAGCTGAAAACGATATTTGTGATCTGGAGGACCATGAAGATCGGTCTCCAAGCAATATGTCTGTCAGCTCAGCAAAATCAACAAAGTCAAAGACTTCAGAAGTTTCAAAAAAATCAAAATCTTCTGCCATTCAATGTGATCGCATTGCAGAAAAGGAAAATAAAGAGGAGCACACTGAAAGCAGATCAGTGAGTTCAATGTCACTCCATTCGGCTGATTCAAATTTTTCTGAAATATCAGGTATATCAAAATGTTCAGCAGAGCCTCCAGCTGAAGAGAGAGTCACCACACCTAAATCCCATGTATCTACTATATCTCTAAAATTTAAAGCAGAAAGTGCAATGTCAGCAAAGTCCTCTATTTCTGCCAAATCCAATAAGTCAAAATTATTGGCTGCCCCAGTAGAAGAAATATCTCATGATTCTGATCATACTGAAAGACCTGTAAGCAGTAAATCACAGAAATCAGCAAAATCAACCAAGTCAAATGTTTCTGTGAAATCTAAGAAATCAAAAGCTACTAACATCCCTTCTGAACACAGCACTGAGATTGCTGATGCAGAGTCTGAGGGAAGAGTGAGCTCATTGTCAACACGTACGATAAGGTCAAATATTTCTTCAAAATCCAAAAAGTCAAAATGTTCTCATGTACCAAATTGTGAGAACTCCAATGAAGATAATGACAAATCACAAACTGAAGAAAGATCTCCAAGTGTAATGTCAGTCAAATCAAATATTTCCCATGTTACAGAAAGATCCAATGCCTCTGATATTACTGAAGACGTTGATGAAGTCACTGATGTGTCTGCTGAAGAGCATGTGGCAGAAGATGTAGCGAGAGCAGCTAGTGCCATTTCAGCTGGATCTGCAAAGTCGCATGCCTCAACACGATCTGCGAAATCAAAAGGCACATTTCCACGTGAAGGAAGTGCTGGCGAAGAAAGCGCAAAGACAACAACAAGTTGTACATCAGCTAACAAAGAAAATGTAGAGCGAGCACAAAGTTCTATGTCAGCAAAGTCAAGTGGTTCAAGGAGATCTGCAAAAGGATCACAAGCTTTTGCTGGAAATTCTGCTGAGGAACATGCTGAAGAAGAAACTGAGGAGAGGTCGCCAAGCAGCCTGTCGGCCAAATTAAACAAATCAAATGTTTCTGTGTCATCAAGGAGCTCGACAACATGTGAAATATCTTCAGAATACAACAATGCCAATGATTTGGAGACTGTACAGAGATCTCTAAGCCCCTTGTCAGCAAAATCAGCCCGGTCCACCAAATCACTGCAATCCAACATTTCTTCAAAAACTGCTAAGTCAAAACCCTCTGTAGGCAAAGAAAATCATGAAGCGAATGTGGAGAAAGAAACAACTGGTCCCTCAATTATATCTACTGAAAATTGTTTAAATGACACTGATGAAAATACAGCAGAAGACTCAGAGAACAGAGCAATGACCTCAATGTCTACCGAGTCAAATGCAACATCAGTATCTGCAAAAACAAGAACTTCTCAAAAATCAGGGAAATCAAAAGTGCTGGAGCAGGTAGCTGATAAGGCAGATCCAGCACAGAGGAGTCCAAGTGTTTTATCAGTGAAGTCAAACACCTCAAGAAGAACAAAAAAATCAAATATATCTGGAACAACCGCCACTGAAACGGTTGGACATGAAGAAGAAGCTGATGACAGTGCCATGTCAACCAAATCAGTTAGTTCAT